ACGTCATAGTTGCACATCCTTCTAGTTGCTGTATGTGGGATGCGGCCTCAGCATGGCCGGAGAAGCGGTGCGTCGGTGTGCTCCCGGGATCCGAACCCGGGCCGCCAGTAGCGGAGCGCGTGCACCTAACCACTAAGCTACGGGGCTGGCCTGTCAACACATATTTTAAAACGTGGGAAGGTGACCTTGGATTAAGCAATGGTTTCTTAGATGTGACACCTAAAGCACAAGCAACCAAAGAGAAAACATAAATTTGAAGTCATCAAAATTAAAAACCTGTGTGCTCCAAAGGACACTATCAAAAAATTCTCCCACGTAATGGGAGAAAATATTTGCAAATCATATAAGGGTCTAGTATCCACAATATATAAAGAGCTCTTACAACTCAACAATTTAAAAAACCCCAATAACTCAATTTAAAAATGGGCAAAGGACTTGAATAGACATTTCTCTGAAGAAGATATACAAATGGCCAATAAGCACTTGAAAAGATGCTCAATATCATTAGTCATAACAAAAATACAAATCAAAACTATAACGAGATACCACTTCGTACTCACTAGTATGGCTACAATAAAAATGATGGACAATAAGTCTTGGTGAGAATGTGGAAAAATTAGAATTCTCATATGTTGTTGATGGGAATGTAAAATGATACAACTGCTCTGGAAAACAGTTTGGCAGCTCCTCAGAAGTTTGAACATAGAGTCATCATATGACCCAGCAATTCTACTCCTAAAAATGTACCTAAGAGAATGGAAAACAATCAAGATATCTATCAACTAATGAATGGATAAGTCAAATATGGTATATCCATACAAATGAATATTATTCAGCCATAAAAAGCTATGAAGTACTATTACATGCTATCACATATGTGAGTCTTGAAAACATGCTAAGTGAAAGAAGCAGAAACGTAAAAGGGCACATATTATATAATTCTGTTTATGTGAAATCTAGACAGCAAGTAGATTAGTGGTTGCTGAGGGCTGGGGTGAGAGAGGAATGGGGAGTGACTGCTAATGGGTATAGGGTGTCTTTTTGGGATGATGAAAATGTTCTGGAATTAGATAGTGGTGATAGTTGTACAACCTTGTGAATATACTAAAACTACTGAATTATACACTTTAGAAAGGTGAATTATATCTCAATAAGAAATATTCATTAAAAACATCTGGGATTACTTAAGAGGATCAATTAAACCAAAAATAGGTTTTTCACAAAGTCCAATCAAATAGACACCCCTGGCAAGACTAATCAAGGAAAAGGAGAGAAGGCACAAATTGATAATATTAGGAATGAAAAAGAGAACATAATTACAGATACAATAAAGATAGAGAGTCATAGAAGAAACCAAGGGCAGTTTTATGCTTTAATTTTTCAGTTTAGATTGAATGGACAATTTCCTGGGAAATATAATCTACAAAAACTAACTAAAAATGAAGCTGAAAACCTGAAGCAACTTAGAATCACTAAAGATATTTATTTATTTATTTATTTAAAAATGTAAAGAATCCTTGATTTATTTTTAAGATTTTATTTATTTATTTATTTTTTCCCCAAAGCCCCAGTAGATAGTTGTATGTCATAGCTGCACATCCTTCTAGTTGCTGTATGTGGGACGCGGCCTCAGCATGGCCAGAGAAGCAGTGTGTCGGTGCGCGCCCGGGATCCAAACCCGGGCCGCCAGCAGCGGAGCGCGCGCACTTAACCGCTAAGCCACCGGGCCGGCCCATAAAGATATTTAATAAATAGTTTAAAATCTACCCTCCAAACCCTGCACAATGTATATTGTTTTACAGTAGAGTTCTACTAATGTTCAAAGTATCGATAGTCCCAATATTATAAAAGAGAGAGACCACAAAAAGGGGAAACATGCCCCAATTTATCATATATGAATAGTATAATTTTAGAATCAAAGCTGGAAAAGGGCATTATGAGAAAGGAAAATCAGAGGCTATTCTCTCTTATGAACATAGAAGCAAAAGTCATAAATAAAATATTAGCAAATGAATTTAGCAATACCTTTACCAAACAATACAATGAACTAGACAGCAATGTAAGAATGGTTTAACATTAGACAATCTACTGATATATATCACTATATTATCAAATTAAAGAAAAAAACGGTATGATTGTTTCATACATGCGGAAAAGGGTCATTAAACAAAATCCAATGTTTATGCATGATAAAAATTAGCACACTAGCAACAGAATGGAAATTCCTTAACCTGAAAAGGTTATCTACCCAAAATCTACAGCAAACAGTAAACTTAATGGTGAAAAACTGGAAAGCTTCCTTTAACGAGAGGAATAAAGCAAGGATACCAGTTGTCATCACCTCTTTTGTAAATTATACTGTACATCAGTCTTTCCCAGCACAGCAAAACAAGAAATAGAAAAGGCATAGGAGTGGGAAAGGAAGAAACTAAACTTTCATTATATGCCAATGATAGGACTGTCCACAGAGGAAATCCAAGTGAATTTCCATTATAAGTAGTACATAAGAGAATCTATGAGGTTCTGAATACATTAGCAATATAAAAAAATCAGCTGGGTCCCGATGTGCTGGGAAAAATAGTTAGCATATAAATTTTTTAAGAGGATACCATTTATACTATTCACAAAACTATAAAATATTTTGAAATAAACCTAAAAGAGATATGCAAGATCTTTATGAAACAAATTCTAAAACTTCATCAAAAGGT